CTTACGCGTAGATCTCGTCGTTATGAAACAAACGCAACTTGAACGGATTTTTTCGGAGTTGAAATGAATAAGTTATGATTTAAACAAGTTTTACTTTGGTTAATTAATAGGTTAAATCTACTCATAAATTTCAAGTGTTGAAAACATGCCTAACAGTTGTATAAACATGTAGAATACGTAAATACGATCCTAACGCAATTTGAATGGATCAAATCGGACTTAAAACGCAAAAGTTACGCATGAAATAAGATTCAGTGGCATTCCTGTAAATATTTGAACTCAAATTTGAATTAAAACAATTAAAAATCTGAATTTAAATGTATTTTGGACTGTGCATACTATTTCTGGAAATGACAGGGACTTGAACGAATAAAAACAGGGCTGAAAAATAATTATTTTGAACTAATCAGGACTGCGGGTTGATTCACTAAAAACCAAGGGGCTATTTTGTAAAACAGGCGTGGCTTTGACTGGGGGTTTGACCCGGGCTGCTGACTGAGCGCCACGTGGCAGCCAGGGACTGGTGCGGTGCACCACGCGGCTTGGTGGACCGGCTGACGCGGCACGATGCGCCGGGTCCACGAGTCTACGGTGGACCGGCCACTTAACCCGAAGGGGTACGCAATCTCAGCCCTCTAGAACAGATCTTACGGCGGTGATTGGTCGCGGGGGTGAAAAGAGTAACCAGCCGGCGGCTACAGTGCCGGCACGACGGTCAGCCATGGGCGACGACGGACAGCTCACCGGTGTCCGCGGTTCTGGTGTTCTAGCGCACCAACTGACGAACTGAGCGCAGAGGAAGATGGAGAAGCTCACCGTGACTCGTATTGGGGTGGTCGTGGTGTCCGGAAGGGCTCCGAAGCGGGTCGTCGACGGCGGCCGCGATCTGGAGAGAGAGGGAGGGCGCGGGTGAAGGCGAAATCGACCAAAACGTGACCAAAAACCAGAGGTGGAGGTACCTACGGGCGCAGGCGAGTACGACGAAGCTCAGGACGTCGTCGGCGGCGTGGATTGGAGCACCGAAGCGACGAATTGCGGCGGCGGTGGGTGCTTGAGCGCGGCCGGGAAAAGGGAGAAGAAGGGCGTCGAGCTCGGGTTTTATTGGAGGGATGGGGCGCGGAAAAAGGAAAGGGAGCGGGGCACGGTGATTACCTGCAGTATGGGCGCGGCGGCTTGCCGTACCTGGTAGCGCCGTTGTCGGGGCAAGAAAAGGAAGGCTCCGAATGCGTCGGGGAAGAAAGGAAAGGAAGAGGAGGCGCTGACACGCGGGGCCAGGTTGCCAGAGAAAGGGAGGGAGCGGACGCTTGTGGCCATGGGCGCTGAAGGCCAAGTGCGTGCGGGTGAAGGCCAAGCGGGCCGTAGCCTTACGCGTGCGAGCGGTGCGGAGGAAGGGCTGGCGCGCTGAGCGGCCGCAGCGCCGAGTAGCGGGCCGCCAAGCAGTGGGCCGCGCGGGCGAGAAGGGAAGGGAGACGCGCGCTGGGCCAGCCGGGCAGCGGGCCGAGGCCAGGAAGAGAAGGAAAGAAGTGGGACGAGCGCGTGAAGGAGGGAAGAGGGAGTGCGCCTGGGCCAAGTCCGGGAGTTGGGCTGAAAGAAGATGAAGTTTTTCAAATCAATTTCCTTTTTCAATTCTTTTTCTTCTCTTAATTCAAAACAATTTCAAATGTGATCCAAACAAGCATAAATATGATTTAAAATATACTTTCTAATTCCAACATAATTGAACCAATTTTGGGTAAGTTTTCCAAAAATAACTTTTTAAGTTATTACATTTTCCAATTCCTTTTCTTTTTCTAATCTTCCAACTCTAAGCTAAATTCAAATCCAATTCGAGTATGGTTTCAAAAATACTTTTCCATTTAATAAAAATGGTCAATTCCATTTGGTTTTCCAAGATAAACTTTACAACTTTAAAAATACTTTTATTTTCTAATTTTCTTTTCTTTTTTTTCTTTTATTTCAAAGCCATCTTCAAACTCTTTTCAAAAACATTTTAACCATTTTGACTTTTAAACTAAAGCCACTCAACCAATAAAATTAAATGCAATAGCATGTATGCATCAAACATGTTGCTACCTTATAATGTATTTTAAATTAATGAAAAATTTTATTTTCCTATATTTCATGTGCACAAAAATTCCAATTTAAATCATTTTGGCTTTGTTTTAAAAGAGACAATTTTTAGGGTGTTACAGGCACCACGTGGTCAGACACGTGAGCACCACTCCAGATCCATCACCAGCATGCTGCACCTTCGCTCCGCCAGACTGCCACGGCAATGCCCCGATTCTAGCCTCCTGTGCGCCACACTGGATTTACTTGATTTAGTAGTAACATCTTCTTCATCAGTAAAAATGACAGATAACCGTCATCCGTAAAACCACATAGGCATGTATGTGATGGATCTTATCATGTAAAAGAGTGCAAATGAAAGCAAAGCTAAAAGCAGGACTATTTTTGTTGCTTTTTGCTACAAAAGAAGTTAGAAATATAGGTTGTTTCTATATGATTATAGGTTTTTCATTAGTTTGCAGAATATGGAGTAATAAGACAGTTAATGAATGAAGCAATTGAAAAATAAAAGTACAGAGCAATGAAGCAACAACAGGTCGCACGGCTAAATTAACCAATTGGTCGCATGACTAAAATAACCATTAATTTAACAAACATAAAATAGTACCTGCTCACTTCCGCTCGAATCTGACAAAAAGATAGCGAATGTATGCACTAGCAAGGCCGTTTTCCATCGCTGCCCGACCGCAGCACGCCTGCTGCCTGTGCTCGCCTCACTGGGTTAGACCACCACTGTCACTGGTATCTTGATTTCAAACCTAATCACTGTAGCAAAATCTTGATTTCACCATTAAATCTTTATGTAAATCAACATCTCAATTGTTTTAGCCCTCCTTATCCCGCGTCGTGCATCCGCCACTGGAGTCTGTCACCACCGATGCGCAGCCTCGCAGCCTCGTGGATCACAGCGTTGATGGTTCGTGTCAGATGGGCAGCGTCTGTTTGTCAGTTCGCGGCGACGGCATCACCGCGAGTCCGGGGTGGATAGATATAGTCAGACCACATTGGAGAATATGGGCTACCGGGACACGAATACATGCTTGGCCCACAGGCCCAAATAACGATTCTTAAGGACAAGATGAATACATGAGTGAGTTACTTATTCGTAAAAAAATCAGCTAAAACAAAACTAATAATGGTTTGAATGTTGGTATTTGGCTTGATCTTTATGAATAGACAATTATGGTATTCTATATTATTTTTTATAAATATTTAATATATGATTTAAATAATTATTTATTTATGACTTATATATATATTAATCAAGTACATTTCTAATATGGTTCGAATTAGAACCATCCATTTGTATTCGTATTCAAGAACATTCGAATTCGTATTTTGTAGGCACTGTCAGGGTCGATGCTAATGGGGCTCGGCAAATGCTTAGACACATACACACACTCATCCAAATGAGTTGCCACACTAGAATATATTCAGGAAAATAGGAGCAAGTACATCGATCACTACCACGGTGTGTCAGGTTCCATCACAAGAAACCTAAACAGATAAGCTACACTCAGTTCACATGTATTGAATATCTTTGACTGACCCCTCTATGTATAGTTCCAGTCTTTGGCCCATGATAATGGGTGTGTTTGGATCCTTGGCTCGCCTTACTTGGTAAGGAATTGTAAGAGAGCCAAAGGTTTGGTTGAGCGGCAAGTTGCATGGAAGCCTGTGCTGGCAAGCAAAATCTTTGCCAGAGCCCGAGAGCGCATTCGGCTTACTCGGCTGGGTAAGTTTCTTGGATTCCATATAGGTGAGTTGAGACAAGTTTCCCTAAGAAACCAAATGCACCCAAATGTTTACGGTTTTCGGCTCTGTTATAACACTGAGGAACTCATGAACCTTTAGTACACTCTAGCCAACTTTTGCAGTCCAGGTCGATGGAGGTCTTCGTCTTCCATGAATATATTTTTATTTGTTGTATTGGATATTAATGTTATATTAGTTCTATGGCATTGAAAGAACATTGTTTTTAGAATATACCGTTGGAAGATTTCAAGTGACACATCTTATTTGAAGAGGTTAGAAGCCGAATTTTATTCATTACCTAAAATAATTAGCTTTTTTCAATAAATACATATATGAAAATAATTAATATTGGGCATTAAATATTATAATTTCTACCAGTAGAAATATTATGGCCTTTTTTTGCACCGAGCGCACCTTTTCCCTCCTTATAATTGGTGAAAATTGTTCCCTCCAAATATCCATTCACCAATGACGCTACTTTCCCTCCAATTACTCAGTGATTTTTTTTCACTCCCGCCATATTGCATCGGACGTCAACACACACACACACACACACACACATATATATATATATATATATATACACACACACACACACAACAATAAGGAGTCCTTTTCATCTACGAAGAAATAAGCCGAGCCATTCCGTGAGAGGAGAAATAGGCAACCGTAAAGTCCGCAAGGTGAGTACTAGTATTTCCTATCTTTTTTCCCCTCTAACCCTCCGCCATCTAGCAACCAATAGTAGCCTCCCATGATTACTCCTTGGTCAAAGCTGCCGCAAAGGCCGTGCTTCACCATCCTCACGGCCGGACGCCTCTGCGGCGCATCTCCGTGCTGCTGAGACTCACCTGCCCCAAATCCATGCCGCTGCACATCCTATCATCCTGGCCCTGATCCACACTGCCGCCGCCGCTGCCGCCCCCATATTCGCAGCGCTTTCCTCACACACTGACCATCCGTGAAGATGCGATGCCTCCGACTCTGCACCGACACCCCGTCCTTCGATTCATCAAGATGCATTGCATCCATGGCTCCTGCCCACTCCAGCATATTATTGCGCTAGGGCATCCATGCCTCCTGCCCACTCCAGCATTCATGCTTATCAAGTTGTTTTTTTAGATTATTTCTTTTGGCAAAATCTTCATTGATTCTATTGCTATTTCACAGGGAACATGGCTCCACGGGCAACTCGACGGACTGTTGATGAAATTGATAGAGAATTTGATGAGTTGGCCTCTGTTTTATCAGATCCAAGGGAGCAGTTGATCACCTCTGGTATATATAGGATTCATACATTCGGTTCCATTAAATATTTTCTCTGCATAAAAAAATCTGATGTACTAGCATGTTACATAAGAGAAAACTAGGAAAGTAACATTTTCTGCAGCCATGTTTATATTCCAATATTTCAGTTATGCTTAGGAAACTTTCATGATCCTATCAGGAACTCGGTATCTTAATATTGATAGTAATTCCATTAATCTCCACCAATTGCACCGTAAACTAACCAAAGCCTGTTAGTTCTCATACAATTGAGTGCGCCATGACTTGTTCATATGTATGAACTGGAGCAACTATGAACACTTGTGGCTTGTATTCTAGTTGGTATAAAAAATCCTGCCTTTATAGAATGGTTTATTCCTATAGGGGAAAGAACAAGCAGGTTACGTCCACGTGCCTCTCGAGCTGATAATACAAGTGATCATTTGGATTCAGATGTGGCCATGGACAAAAACATTCAAATAAATTCTGCCGCACACAACACTGAAGGTGTTTTGCTAATCTAAAAATCTTTCTGCACACTACTGTTCATTTCACTAAATTACCTAGAATCTCTTTTAGTAAATTAGCTAGGCTCTGTTATACTATCTAAAATTTGTTTATGTACACTACAGAGTACAAATATGAAATATTACATTTAGTAATTGTTGTTTTCCCCCAATATTAACTAGACCTTGCTAAGAAGAGTGGTAGAAAAGTTACAATTAATGATCAACTTCGCAAGAGAAGAGCAAAAGGAAAGCATATTGATATAAAGTTCCCTAAAGAATTTGCAAAAGTGTGTGGAGAACATGCTAGTTTATTTAAAAGTGAGATAACAGTTCTTGTAAGAACTGTACCACTCCAAGTGAAGAAGTGGAGGGACATGGATAAGTTTCATCCTGGTACTACTGCATCTGTTTGGAGAAAACTAAAGGTGACCTACTTTTCATATGAAATGAATATATTTGGCATGCATAGGTTATCATTGCATTCAGTGGCTGGTTATTACAATATATCTTTGTTGTACAGCAAAAGTTTCCTGAGCTTTCAGAAGAAGATAAAGATTGTGCCATGAGACAAGTAGAGAGTCAATATAATAATCGGCGTTACCATCTACTTCAAACTTACCGAAACAACAAACCAAGGCCACAACATGTCTCACCAGAAGGTTGGCAATAGTTGATAAGGAATTTGTGGACGGATGATGATTTTCAAGTACATACAACTCATGTCCTAAACTACAGTGCTGTATAATTGTTAATGATACATTTCTGCAATTTATAAACCAGAAAAGGAGCAACCAAAACTCTATCAATAGAGGAAAGCAAGAGATGGGGTCCAAAGTAGGAACTAAATCAATTGCTCAAATCGCTTACGATCTAGTGAGGAAAAAAGTTACCAGGCAGATTTTTTCTATTACACATCGTTCGGAATTAGTGAATATATGCTTTTGTTATTCCAATGCAGCGAGACCCAGAAACTGGTGAATGGCCTACTGCTATGCAAGTTTGGAGGGCTACATATCAAAAGGCTAATGGGACATGGTCCATTCCAACGGGTGAAGAAATAATGGTATGACCATATTACTTCCCTTTCTGATGGCATCTTTGGGTTTCACATTTGTCAATCTGTATCCTACCTATGATTCATTATATGAATGCTTTTGCCTGCTGTGTAGTATATGAGTTCTTAATTAGTTTGTTTTTCATGCTTTGTAGACCAAACTACATGAAGCTGCTAGGATACATCAAGAAAAGATTTCTTCTGCGCCCGTGCCAATAGTAGAGCACTTCGCACTAGTTCTTGGTCGAAAGCCAAACAATTCACGTGGTGTTGGCATTCGTGCCGGAAACCGATTGGCTGAGGAAAGAATCAGATTGCAGGCGCAAATTGAGGCTTCTGAACAGCGTGAAGCTGCAGCTCGAGAACGTGCAGATGCTGCTGAGCAATGTGCTGAGGCTGCTGAGCAATGAGCACAAGCTTTGGAAAGCCAAGTTTCCACGGTGGTCGAAACAAATGCACAACTGCAAGAAGAGCAGCAATCCCAACGTGATGAGCTGAGTTCTTTGCGTCAAGCACATAGTGGAGAAGTTGCTCGTCGAGTGAGAGAACAACTTGATCATCAAATGGCTGAATTAATTGCACGCATTGGTGCCTCGCAGCCTCCAACGTCTTAGAGTTTAAACACTTTAGTTGAATAATTATTGTGAGACTTTAAAATAGTGTCAAGAGAGTTATTTTGAGGTTTGAGTGTTCTTAGTTTTATGTAATGCTTGAATGCCAAATTTGAATTATTGAAATAAATATTATTGGTGCAGATTTGAAATAATCATATTGCTATAATATACATTTGTTGAGCTATTTTTGTCACTACAATAAGGATAATAATGATAACTTGGTCGCCACAACATCTAATGTGTTTCACACAATTGAAACTTATCTTGTGACAAAACTTGTCCTAACTAATATTTTCCTACAAATGCTATGCTTTTTTGTGATGAAACTATTGATATATTTTGTCTTGTCAGTTCTCACAAAAAGATATTTTTATGACAAAGGTTTGTCACCGTAGTTTACATGTGAGGATTAGTTTGCATCACAAATGAAAAGTATTTGTGTTAACAAGTTACCACTTTTTCCCATACATATTGTGGTACACAATTAGACACAATTATAATTTAATAGTGAGAACAAGCATCGACACGACAAACTCAAGTAATGGTGAAACTTCTGTCACTAATATGTAGTCTTTTGTGACCACAAAAATTGTCACTTTTACAATGGTAATTGTGACAATTATATTGCCAAAGATTCTGTATAGTTGTGGCAACTATTATCACCACTAAAAACATTATGAGTGACATCATTTTTTGCCACTAATGCATATGTTTTTGTGACAACGAATGAGCCACAAATGATCCCGTTACTAGTGGCAGTACAATTTGTCACTAATGAGTATGGTCATTTGTGGGGAACAAAAATTCATCACTAGAGTATCTGTGAGGCGAGTATTTGTGGCGACTAGTGGCGATTTAAAAATTCGCCACAAAGGCTAGTTTGTGGCGAAAAAATAAGCTCTTGTGATGAAAATTTTCACCACAAAAACCCTTTGCCCTTGTGGTGGTTCCTCTGCACTGACGAGTAGCAGCTCTGCGTCATTGAGCAGCCTACCCGCCAGACCTGAGGGACCTGTGCCGCCGACGATGTCGTCCAGCCTGCGGAACCTCAACTCTTTACCTTCGTAGTAGGTGTCCACGAAACTCAGTGATATCACTTGGAGGTGAGGCGAACTCGATCGGTGGTGATGGAGTTCCTTCTTCCGTCGGAGTGCCCTGCATAGCACCCGAAGTGCTCGGCACTGCTTCTGGACTGCTCGTCATAACTCCTGTAGTGTTCGGTCACACTGTAGGAGTGCCTAGCCTCAGTCTTGGAGTGGTTGGGACCACAGTAAGATGTCTTGGCTCTGCCACGGGACTGCTCGGCACCCGTCCTGAAGTGGTCGCCACCACTGCAGAACCTCCTGGCTCCACTCCTGGCGTGCTCGGCATCCCTCCAAAAGTGCTTGACACTCCTCCCGGAGTGCTCGGCATCCCTCCTAAAGTGCTCGGCACTGCCCCAGAAGTGCTCGACTCTACTGCCGGAGTGCGTGGCACCTGTTCCGCATTGTCTCCACCACCGTGGATGACCAAGTGCTCGACGACGAAGGTGTTGGGGAAGCCTCCTGCTTCCCCCGTGCTCGAACTGTTCTAGTCCCAAGCCGCCTCCTCGTTGAACACAACATCGCACGAGACAGTCACCTTGTCTCCGCGTGGGTCATAGAGCCGGTACGCCTTGGTACCCTCCGCGTAGCCCAGGAACACCATGGGTGTGCTCCTGTCCTCCAGCTTGGTGAGGTTCGGCTTCGTCTTCCTGATGTGGCCGATGCAACCGAATGTTCGGAGGAATGACACGTTCGGCTTGCTCCCGTACCAAGCTTCGAACGGCATCTTGCCCGTTAGGGCCTTGGTTGGAGCGCGATTGAGGATAAACACCACCGTGGTCACCGCCTCTCCCCAGAACTTTGCCGGCATCCCTTTGGCCTTCATCATGGATCGGGCCATGCCGACCACTGTCTGGTTCCGTCGCTCCACCACGCCATTCTGTTGTGACAAATACGGCGCGGTGTGATGTTGTCCCACACCCTGATCCGCGCAGTACGTAGCAAACTCCTCTGAAGTGAATTCACCACCCCGATCAGTCCTCAGTACGCGGAGCTTCTTGCCGCTCTCGGCCTCCGCGCGCGTCTTGAACTTCTTGATCGCCACCGCCGCTTCGTCCTTGCTCGTCAGGAGTTGCAGCCACATGTAGCGACTACAATCATCCACGAGCAGGAGGAAGTACCGCCGACCACCGCATGTAGTAGGCGTGATCGGCCCACAGAGGTCGCCGTGAACTAGCTCGAGAGCTTCCTTCGCGCGATACTTGGCTGCCTTTAGGAAAGGTAGCCTCCTCTGCTTCCCGGCCAGGCAGCTTTCACACAGCTCGCCTCTATAATAGAACCGACCAATTATATGAAATTAAGTAAGAAAATCATCCGCCAGAGCAGACGATTTAGCAAACTTAAGCCCGTATAACCCGGTAGTCCTTGAAATCACGAAGGATTTCAAACCAACTCACATCCCAGCCAAGATCGTAATAAGTTTAGCGGTCACCATCACATATTACATAAAAGTTTGCATCTCAGATACATCAGAGTTTAAACATAGTTATTATAAAACGAGTTCGAATAAAAGTAGCGGAAGCCATTTGTTCAAAACCACACACACTCACATGGAGTTCAAATACAGTGCCAGCTAATGATCATCTCCAGCAAAAGCATCAGACGAGACGTAAGGAATGACTATGCCCATGGTCCTAAGCATCACCCATCGCAGGATAAAGACAGTTGATACAGTAGCCGTAATACATCTGCCCATCTGCAACAAGTGAGAATAAAACCCTAAGTACGAGAAGGTACTCAGCTAGACTTACACGACATAACCGAAAATAAGTAACACCAAGGATTATGAAGGGCTTTATAGTAGGGTAGCTGACTCATTTGCAAAAAGAAGCATTTTTAGCATTTCAAGAACCTTTCCAAAAGCATTATTGTCAAGTTAATTATTATTAAGCTATCGACTACATTTGCACCTATACTAGAGTAAACATGAGATTAAGCAAATAATGATAACACATGATCATTAATCAACTTCCATAATGTCATATTCATTATAAATGTCCAAGTGTTCCATCAACATTACTACGATGAAGTAACTCAAGTCAAGTGCTCACTATCCAGGAGCGATGGCGATTCGAATCGATTCCTAATCAGCTGATGATTTATTCTTTACACAAACCTCACTCACCCGCTAAAGTGAGGTATTGGTCACCGAGTCAACTATCCAGGAAGCTCGAGTTTGCCAGGAACCACATGTACTCGGGGGCCGACCGACTGTACTTTGGTCTTATCATCTCGCCCCCGTGTCCTACCACACCTGCTTCGGCACAGTGCGCTGCGGGCAATCTACTCGGCCCGAATAATCTCCCAGCTTCGCGGTCGAAAGGTACTTTATTCGGCCAGCTAAATGTAAGGCATGCGTTCAACATGACTCAAGGCCCAACAACGGTCGGTCCTTAATCGACACAGACGAAAAGCACTACAATCCAAAACTCTGTAAGTCTCCGTCTAGTCTCAACTTCATTTAACACTTAGTTATACCATGACTACATAGTCATCCAAGCAGATCTAGGTAACCACCTATAGCTCGCAGGTGACAGGAAATCACCCGACTTCTACCGGTCTAAGCCAGCTAAGCATTGACTCGACTGCGGATACCAGGGTAACAAGGATATGGTATAACAAAGGTAGAAAAGGTATAATGCAGCAACGGTTGCAAACAACTCCTGAACGTAATGCATCAATTAAAGTAAAGCAGTTAATTAATAATTGCAAACTTGGGAGAAAATGCTCCGAGGCTTGCCTCTCTCGAAGGAGCTCGGGCGGTGATCGGGGCACTCTGGAAGTTCCTCAACGTCCTCCTCGTCGGCTTCGGGCACTTCCTGCAGCTGCACCTCGAGCTGCTCCTCGGGCTCCTCGGGTATGATGATTGGGTTATCGGTTTGCGATCCTATATGATGCAATGTGCGTAAGTGCTTATGCAATCAGTGCATCGGATGAGATGAATACAATGGATATGCTTGAATGCAAGGTAGTCAACATCATCCAAAAACATATACTACAAGCACATGTCATCTACTGCATTCTCTTCTACTACTAATATGCTAAGCCAACACCTCTCATTAAATGCTTCAAAGGTACACCAAAGCTTCACTAATTTCTTAATCACACATAAAGCAACACTTGATTAAACCCTAATTAATAATAGGTTTGAATAGCAACATCTATTTTTATTGCTTAGAAAAATCTTAGAAAATTACCATAGCATAGTACTATCCTAAGTAGTCTACCATCAGATTTTCATGGTATTTGAATGAGTGGATTAGCCTACACAAAAATAACAAGCTATGGCATGATTATGAACCTGAAAATACTTTGTACTGTGAAGAGTGTGAAACAACAGAAGAAATATTTTTCCTATGTTCTACACAGCAAATAATCACTGTACAAAAATTATCACATGCATGTTTTATACAAATTTTGCTCTCTAGCAAAAATAACAAAAACCAGCCATTAAAGGCACTTGAACTACACCTCATAATTTTTCTATAGTACATGCATGACACATATTTTTTCTAGGAAGTACATTACATAAGAAGATTAACAAACTTGGAATCATATTTTTCTGAAGCCTATAGGTTTTTCTACACATTTTTCAAGTTATCAGCAATATCAAGGATTAAATAAAGCTCTACATAAAAGTATCTCAAAAATGACATGCAATAATTTTATCATGTAGATCTGGTGACAAGAAACCTAGCAAAATTTGTTTCAACA